TGGCCTCCGACCCAAGAGCAATGGCCTCCAACCTAAGAGCGATGGCCTCCAACCTAAGACCAATGGCCTCCAACCTACCAGCGATCCAGAAGTTCCATGCCATGGGGAAGCCTCAGGAAGGAAAGAGCCAACCCTGGAAGCTACAGATTGGACTACGGCAGGATCGACTCCATGGGCTGTTGACCGGCTCCAGTCACTCGAGTCTGTGGCAGATCCTGGGCATTCAGCTCAAACCTCACTCCCAGCGGATGTCTCCTCTGGGGATCAAGCTGAGGAGGTGCTCAAGCAGATGTAGACGACATGGAGCCCTCACACCTGATGTCACAGCTGTTGTGCTTGCGCCTTAGCAACCCGTCGAATAGCTGCTACATCAATGCTTCTATGATCACCATGATGTGGGCTAGCCTCCAGCGCCGGCGTTTTGCCATAGATGATTGGGGTTTACTTCAGGAAGACCTGAAGCTTCTTTTGGGTAGGGGTGACGAACCCACGCGGATGTCGTTCTTTGAGCGGCAGCTGCCTGGTTGGGACGGCGCCGTTCAATGTGATGTTGTGGAGTTCACACTTGCCTTGATGGCACGACTTGAGCCCACTGTGTTCCATGGTCACTGGGAGCGACGCTACCAGCGAGAGAACGGCTATGTGAAAAGGTATGCAAGGGAAACTGGAGTGTTTGCACTGAGGCTCACTGTCATGCCACACCCACACTGTGAGTTGTACCAACTAGTTGATAACTGGACTCACGACTCTGGCATGCTGGCTGCATTTGTCCATCTCCCGATGTTGATTTGCATCCAACTTGATCGAGCCCATCCCACGCCAGGTGGCGGGCCACGGAAGAACCTGTCGATCGTCACCTTTGAGCACTTGTTTCGCGTGCCCAGGTTCATTGGAGACGCGATGCCCGTGGAGCATCATGACTACCAAGTTGTTGCTGCATGCACACACTTAGGACACTCAGGTGCTGGGCACTATCGTGCCCTACTGCGCTGTGCAGATGGCAACGGCTGGATGCTTTGTGAGGACGGTGAAGCTCCTTCCAGGATCCCCCATGTTCCTGGCTGGTTCTCCACTCAGGTTTGTTTGCTTTGGGCGGTGCGGCTCAGCGCCCTGTCCACCGTGGAGAGCGAGAAGGCTGCTGCCTCTGCGACACCTGCGCTGGGCGCTGGCGTAGCTGACGTGCTGCAGCTGTTCATGGAGTGAGAGATCCCCCTTTTTGTCTTTTCCCATTGAATTTTGACTAGATGTTGCATACAAGTGATTGAACGTGTCGGCTTCACCTATACCGGTGATTTTGAGCCGATACTACTCAGCAGAGCACCCAAGACTTCATGAGAAGCCGTGGCATATGCCATGAAGGGTACGCGCAAAGGCGCTTAGCACCTTGGCGTCCAAAAGCCAAAAAAAAAGCCAACCTACCAGCGATGGCCTCCAACCTAATAGCGATGGATGGCCTCCAACCCAGGAGCGATAGCCTCAAACCAAAGAGCGATGGCCTCCAACCTAAGAGCGATGGCCTCCAATCATATCCAACCTAATACTAGTAGCAATGGCCTCCAACCTAAGAGCGATGGCCTCCAAACTACTATATATTGATGGCCACCTACTAGCAATGACTCCAACCGACTAGCAATGGCCTCCAATCTAAGAGCGATGGCCTCCAACCTAACAGCGATAGCCTCCAACCTAAGAGGGATGGCTTCCAACCTACTAGCGATGGCCTCCAACCTAATAGCAATGGATAGCCTCCAACCCAGGACCGATAGCTTGGAACCTAAGAGCGATGGCCTCCAACCTAAGAGCGATGGCCTCCAACCTAAGATCTATGGCCTCCAACTCCAACCCACTATATAGTTATATAGTGATGGCCTCCAACCCACTATATAGTGATGGCCTCCAACCTAAGAGCGACGGCCTCCAATCTATGAGCGATGGCCTCCAACCTAAGAGGGATGGTCTCCACCCTTATAGCAATTATGGCCTCCAATCTACTAGCAATGGCCTCCAACCTAATAGCAATGGTCTTCAACCTAAGAGCGATGGCATCCAACCTAAGAGCGATGGCCTCCAACCTACTAGCAAAGGCCTCCAACCTAAGAGCGAGGCCTCCAATCTACTAGCAATGGCATCCAACCTAGTAACACTGGCCCCCAACCTAAGAGCGATGGCGTCCAACCTAAGGCCTAAGAGCGATGGCCTCCAATCTACTAGCAATGGCCTCCAACCTAAAACCTAAGAGCGATGGCCTCCAATCTACTAGCAATGGCCGCCAAACGACTAGCAATGGCCTCCAACCTCATAGCGATGGCCTCCAACCTACTAGCAATGGCCTCGAGCCTAGTAGCGATGGCCTCCAACCTCAGAGCGCTGGCCTCCAATCTAATAGCAATGGTCTCCAACCAACTAGCAAGGGCCTCCAACGTACTAGCGATGGCCTCAAACCTAAGAGCAATGATAGCGGCGATAAGGGCGATGGCCTCCGACCAAAGAGTATTGGCCTCCAACCAAATCGCCTCCAACCTACTAGCAATGGCCTAGAGCGGTGGCCTCCAACCTACTAGCAATCGCCTCCAACCTAATGGCGATGACCTCCAACCTACTAGCGATGGCCTCCAACCTAATACCGACGGCCTCCAACCTAATAGCGACGGCCTCCAACCTAATAGCGATGGCCTCCAACCTAATAGGCATGGCCTCCAACCTAGCAGCAATGGCCTCCAACCTAATAGCGATGGCCTCCAACCTACTAGCGATGGCCTCCAACCTAATATAATTTTCTTAAGTGCAATGACCTCCAACTAGTGATGGCCTCCAACCTACCAGCGATGGCCTCCAACCTAAGAGTAATGGCCTCCAACCCAAGAGCGATGGCCTCCAACCTAAGGGTATAGTAATGGCTTCCAACCTGAGAGCGATGGCCTCCAAGCTAAGAGTGATGGCCTCCAACAAAGGCCTCCAACCTAAGAGCGATGGCCTCCAACCTGAGAGCGATAGCCCCCAACCTAAGAGTAATGGCCTCCAACCTACTACAGTAGCGATGGCCTCGAGCCTACTAGCGATGGCGTCGAGCCTCCAACCTAGGAGCGGGCCTCCAACCTAATAGCACATTGCCGAAAGGTCGAAGGAGTGCAACAATGGTGCTTATGGTGGTACCAAGTAGAATCGGATTCCAGTTGTCGGCGGTGCTGCTCTCTTTTTCGAAGTCTTGAGAGAGTCTATCAACTGGACCAGCTGGACAGCGTGAGGATGCGTGAGGTGTTTGTTACCTCAGAAGGCTCACTCACCTGCTGTTCGGCAATCCCAGTCCTGCCAGGAGCTCAATAGCTTGTGGACATTGTGCCGATGAAAAGTGGAAGTCTGGATCGTGTTCTTGACATTGCTTAGCAACATGCCACAGGCCTTAACATGCCGGCCTTAACTACCGGTTAGGAACTACAAACAAACGCAGGCCTGGATGATGATAATGATAATATGAAACATACAAAATGGATGAATGGGTATGAAATGGTATGAATGGCAAGGAGTTCTTTAGACTTTTCAATGAATCAAACTGTTCAAATTTCAGTTCGGCACTCGGCTCAGCACTCGGCTCTGCTTGGCGCTCCTTCCGGCCCCTCAAACACTTCACGTGTCTCTGGCGTGCCCTGGCAGACGCCGAAGGGTGCTGCTGTCCTGGTCACGAAACACACAAAGGGCACAACCGAAGCAGCACCAATCAATTTGTGTTTTAACTTATAAAGTGTTTATGTGTGAAAAAGACTGTGATTTCTTCGCTTTGTGTGAATAGTTTGTGCTCACCCTGTGTAACTTGTGCCCATCTGCATTCGAGCTCTCTCTCCCTTTGTGCTGCTCCCCTTCTTTCTGAGCTCGAGGCGCACCGACCACCTCGTTGCCTCTGCCAGCCTGAGTGATCACATGGCACAAGGGATGACAACTTTGTGTGCTAATCTGAACATTGATCGCAAGACTTTGGATCGTCACCTTTATGCGCTCGATCTGGATCCCCCACCAGTTTTGTCATCTCCAGAGTTTTCCAGATCTTCTCCATGATGGACAACTCAGAGAGACCTCATGTCACCCCACTCAATCAATTGGGAAATGAAAAAATCAAAATCCTGACGCCAAGGATGCCAAGTCAGATCCGGTCTACAAGGCGAGATAAGGTCGAATCCAGACCGGATTTGGCTGTTACACACATCCTTCATTTAGGTTGGAGGCCATTGCTATTAGTAAAAAGAAGATGGTTCTTTCTTTGCCTTGGCTTCAACAATCTTGGCTTCAACATCTCGGCTCTGGGTGAGCGGCTGGGCATCAGTTTTTGACTTGCCGCCACCTCTGTGGCTAAAGCCTCCAACCTGGCGACAGTATCCACTCATAAGATGCAAATGGTGTGCCTTCTTGGTACGGCTTAAGCTGCCGGTGAAACGAGCTGCGGAGCTGCCGCCATCGGTCAGAGAGCCGGTGCCAACGATTTGCATCACCTCAAAGCCAAGAAAAGAGTGCCCAGATTGCCACAGGTAGAAGAGAAGTGTACTTGAGCATTCGTCTTGCAGACCTCTCTCAGCCTTGCCTTCTTTGCACGCAGAAAACGC